CTAACTTTCAAAGTGTCAATTTAGTACCTTAACTATACAATTTTTGTCAATTTTGGCCACTCAGATCAAATTACTGGTCAAATTTCACCAAAAAATGGTGGAAGTTAAAATTTTAGAGGTATTTTAGTAATTTTACTTTATGTTTTCTTTCTTCTCCTTCTCCAACGATCGTTTCTTCCCGCGACTCCGGCCTGCGAACAAAACCTCTGCTACTCCAGCATGCGACCAGAACCACTGCTACTCCAGCCTCCAACCAGAACCTCTGTGATGGTTTCGGCCTGCAACCAGAACCTCGCCAGAAAATGGTGGAAAAGATGGATTCGCCGGAGAAGAAGAAAAGAGGTGTGAAATGACCAAAATATCCTCATTATTTTAATTATTAAATTTTTCGGCAAAATGTGGCCGGCAATTTGGCTGGAGTGACCAAAATTGACAAAAATTGCATAGTTAAGGTACTAAATTGACACTTTTGAAAGTCAGGTGCTGAAATTAACAAAGCTACTATAGTCATATGACCAAAATTAAAATTTTCTCTATTCTTTTTAGTCATTAACTTTTCATTTGACGAAAATATGTATCTTGACTTTCATTTTTATCATAAATAATTGAGTTTGTCTGGCAGAGCTTATTTAGAACCTTATAGCTTATTTTAAGTTACTAATAAACTATAAGTTCTGTTTGGTAATGTTTCTAAAATAAGCTTGTAGCTTAAAATAAGAGATTATTTTGGAACGATATCTAAGGTAGTGTTTCAAAATAAGCTAGTAGCTTTCTAACTTTCTTTCCATCTTTGTGTTTATTATTTTAAAGAAATGACATCATTTATCCTTTCCAATTAAAATCATTTTCTCTTCTCCTTTATCTGCAACTTTCACTGCAATTATTATTATTATTATTATTATTATTATTATTATTATTATTATTATTATTATTATTATTATTATTATTATTATTATTATTATTATTATTATTATTATTGTTATTGTTATTGTTATTGTTATTGTTATTGTTATTGTTATTGTTATTGTTATTGTTATTGTTATTATTATTATTATTATTATTATTATTATTATTATTATTATTATTGTTATTGTTATTATTGTTATTGTTATTATTGTTATTATTGTTATTGTTATTATTGTTGTTATTGTTATTGTTGTTATTGTTATTATTATTATTGTTATTATTATTATTATTATTATTATTATTATTATTATTATTATTATTATTATTATTATTATTATTATTATTATTATTATTATTATTATTATTATTATTATAGTGAATTCAATTTTTGGTTCTACTGTTATAGGGGTGTTTCCAATTTTAGTCAACCTTAATTTTTTTTTGCCACTTTATAACCGCTATTATTGAACGTGTTCCACTTTTAGTCCCACCGTTAGTATTTTCATCAAAAGGTCATGTAATCTAGGGGTATTTTGACCTTTCTTCTCATCCAAGACTATGTTTGACTAAAGAAATGAGAACATTAAACCTAAAACCTAAGAAACCTCGCCGGCCCATGTTGGAACGAACGAATCGATGTAGCTTTGCCTTCCCATTCTCGTTGTTTGAAGAGCCATCTTCGAATATCGGAGGAGGAGGACAAAGCGCCTGGATTAAAAGAGAAGAGACAAACATAAAAAGACCGAAATACCCTTTGATTATACGGCCTCTTGACGGAAATATTAACGGTGGACTAAAAGTGGAACACATTCAATAACAATGGTTGTAAAGTGGCAAAAAAAATTAAAGTGGACTGAAATTGAAAACGCCCCTATAACAGTAGGACCAAAAATGGAATTCACTCCTATTATTATTATTATTATTATTATTATTATTATTATTATTATTATTATTATGAGATGAACGAAATTCGCAACAATATTGTTACTTCATTATGGGATACTACATCATGATTATACTAATAGTTTTATTTCAAAATGTTAATTTTTTTTGAAGACAAAATGTTAAATTTTAATATGTAAACAAACTAATTTAAATTTTATGAAGATGTCCTTTTTTGTCTTTTTACATTTATTAACTTATAAAAAAACTAATTTTACCAAACACTTTCAAGCATAACAGCTAGTTTAACAACTCTTTAGTTTTCCGCTCCTAACTTATATGATTATGATTACCTCTTTAGAGAATTATATGGCAATATAATTAATTTAAAATTCAACAACTACAAAAATAATAATGATGCAGGTATTGTCCAAAAGAAAAATGCTCATTTACTCCCAAATTTAACTCTCAATTTGTACTCTTACACGATCACACTCATACTCTTAGTATAAACACTTTTAGTATGACTCACATGATACAAATTAAATATCTTATCATAGTTTGATATGTAAAGAATTAAAAATAATGAAATAGAATTTGAAAGTATGTGTTGCCCAAACTTGCCAGGAATACATCAACTTCCTATAACTCTATCACATCATCACAATAGCTGATACATTATTCCCGGCAACCCCTCACATTATCATAAATGCCAATAACTTTTCAATTGCCCACAATATCATCACAAACAACAATTAAAGCGTAATGCAACACACTCTCACTTTTAAAAATAAATCATATTTCTACATTATCAAATTTATAATTCACTTACAATCCATTTGGTTCGCAAATAATATTTAAGTAATGAAACTTAAATTTCAAAAAAAAAAAATTATGAAGAAAATTGATCTTATGTTTGGTTGGTAAAAAAAGAAATTATATTGAATATACTGAATAATGAGTATAACGACTAATATACCCTTGTACAATTATAATAACAAGGGTAATTAAGAAAACTTTATGCCGTTAATTAAGAAAACTTTATGAGGGCACAATTGTCCTACCAAGGGAGCAAATAAAACATATTCAATGGAAAATAAAATACATATTTTTAACCCAGAAAACTTTGTCCTCAAATGTGAGGAATTGTACTTCCTTTTGAAAAAATGAATTTCATGAATCAAACAAAGGAAATTAGCATCTCTGTCAAAGTTTAGAAAGTTAACTTCTTTGTAAAATATTTTCCATCCAACCAAACATGCTCTTAATATTTTTCTACATTCTTACAATACTTCAATAGGTTGAAAAGTATCTCAATTTTCCATTACACTAGTAAGTGTCTCGTGCGATGCACGAACTATTATTAATTTAACAAGTGAGAAAATTACACTTTTGGTCCTATGGCTATAGAGGGCGTGTTAATTTCGCTCCATGACTTTTAAAATTAACAATTTAGTCCTTTAACTATGTTTTTTTTTAGCAGGTTTGGTCATTCTGGCCAAATCAACGGTGGAAATTGGCCGGAAAAATTTAAACCTTTTTAAATTTTTATTCATGAGGGCAAAATAGTGTTTTTACGTAAGCTACTTCTTCTTATTCTTCGCGTTCATGAGCTACGGCTAACAGTTGCCTCTGTTTCCAAGAAAGAACAACTCCAAGAATCAAAGCCCTAGGTTCAGAAGCAATGTATGATTTTTATCCTCAGTTTTTTCTGTCTACTTCGCATTTCTTGATTCATCTTCCCCAGATCGCACGGTATAAAGCTCTATAAGAGATCTAAACTCCCAAAAATATTCTTCTCCCTATTCTTGCCACAACTATCCTCCCAAGTCCAGCCACGACCAAAACATAATTGTAGTATTGGTTGTGGTCCTGCGGATGATGGTTTATTTATAGTGTTAAAGTAGGTGTAGATGTTCATGTAAATATTGATTTTGAATTTTAAATTTATCTCCAATCAATTAATGATAGAAATAATAACATAATTATTGCAATGTTAATTCTCAATTATGGATCAACAATTATTACTCAAATTAATTTTGTGAATTACTCTCCTATCCACTAAAATCTTTTTGCTTATTATTCACTTTGATTTTCTTTTCATCTTTATTTAATTATTTATGATGATAGAGAGAGAGAGAAATATTCAAAGTTGTTAAAAGAAAATTTAAAATCTTGGGTTGATGGTTGGATTTCAACTATTTATATTTGAGAAGAAAAAGTCTACAAAAGTCTTAAAATTAAAAAGTCTACAAAAGTTCATAACTTTTTGAATACCACACGACTTCTAAACACTCTTTAAAAGTCTTAATCGAATACCACACGACTTTTAAAGACTCTTTAAAAATCTTGATTGAATACCGCCTGACTTTTAAAAACTCTCTAAAAGTTTAAATTGAATACCTCCAAACTTTTAAAGTTCATAAACGTCTTTAAAACTCTATGAAAGTCATGATTGAATACACCCCCTTTAATATGATTGGCTTTATTAATTAGATTTTTTTTTAAAATTTTTTCATAGTATTAATAAAATACTTGGTAAATAAATATATAGCATTATTTTGTATTATAACTTTGATATTTAATTAAAAAATAGTGCACAAAAAAGATAATAGACAATATAGAGAATATAATCAAATGATGAATTTGAATGTAAAGAATTTTTACATTGGAGAAATATAAAGACAATATAACTAATAAAATTATTTCTCATAATTAATTTATTGATAATAAATAAATTTTCATATGGGATTTGTGGCTCTTGAATGTTTCTTTCTTCATCAATAACATTAAACAAATGTGCTAAACTAATAAATCTATGTTCTCTGTCAAGCACTTTGTGCTCAGATGGCACCCGGGTTGGACTCCCATATGGAAGGTTGTGAATTCGAGCCTCAGTGAAGGCGTTATTAGCTCTTTGTGCTTCAGTAGGTTTATCATCAGATTCTGCATTTGCAATCACCAGCCATGTCCACTAAAATTACAATAAATAAACTAAACAACAAAAAGTATATTAATTCTTTTTCATACAACGAAATGACAGAAAAAAATACCATATTGATAAGCTTCTTTCAACTTTTGCTTAATCTGCTTTGACAGTTCAAGAACCTCTTCTGTCTGCAACATCAATGGAAAACACATAAAGAAAGAAATAAGCAGACTGTACAGAAAAGACAGGGAACAAAGGAGTGAGTGTGGGAGAGGGTTCTTACACTGAGTTCAACGCGATGATCTGTTTCACTTGCTTGCTTTAGTTTGGCAGATTTATCTTTCACAAACTTAAGCCCTAACAAAATTGGGGATTGAATTACAATGCAAATCATCCAAAAAAAATCCACAATGTTAAAATAAGCCATATCAAACCATAAGATTTGCTTGGATAAATTTTCGCCTAGACATCCAGGAGCATGGGGCAGGATAGATTTTTTCTGGAGGGTGTGTTCGGAGGACACCCCTTGATGGGTAAATACGTACAGAAGACTGATCCGTCAAGAAGTCATACCAACCAGTCCGTCATAGTCATCAGCCCGACATGACTAAAACACTTGTGGTCAACCGTACCGTTCGTACCGATAGGCCTCGTGACAACAGAAGATGCTCTCGGATCACCCTTGGAATCGCCCCGGCCGGCGGAAAGTCACCCAGCTGGTCTACCGTAGGGTGACCGGTCGGCCCACAATGTGACGTAGACTGCAGTGCCGAAAACGTAACTTACACAACAAGTTATAGGGTCCAGCGTGCACTTGCTGAACGACGACTGATAGCTTACAGGTAGCGCGGCTCTGTCACCTCGGTCAGTCAACCTACGAGTAGCTGCAGAGCGACCGCCTGACTGAGCCAACGAGAAGATGCCACGTTGATCCGCTTGCAGCAGGCGCATTAAATGCGTAGACCGACTTAGATTAGGAGGGTCTCACCCCTCACTTCTGATATCTTCGTCTCACAACAACTACTACTTACTACTTGTAACCTTCACCCTGTAATAGCAACCCACTCATAAGTTGCAACCTGCACTATTGCAGCGATCTGCACTTGTAACCACTTATTACTTGCAATACTACTCAGTCTCGGATCGCTCAGTCGTCGCTCGGTAGACTGACCGACTGACCTACGAGCACTTCATTCTACTCGTTCACGAACATACGTATTCGTAGTGTAATCGTAACCCCCGGTTCAATTTACGCTATCATTGGCGCCGTCTGTGGGGACCGAATGAGTCACTCTCTGTCCCATTACCTTTTTTTCTTCATCTACCTTGATTGATCGAAATGACGAAGAACAGGAGGAGTTGGAGGCAGAGCTACGTGCCGAGGGAAGGCTCAACCCGCAAAGTTGCACAACATCCCAACAATATGGTCGAAACGCTCCTCGAAGTTGATCTGTGTCGACAGTTGGACCGATCAAGAGGCTTGATGAACGATCTCACCTCCAACCACGGAGGACAGGATACCCAACCGGTCAGACAGGATCATGACCAGCAGGCTGGACGCACGAACGTTCACCCTCATATGCCGATAACATACACCATACTACCCCCGACAAGCCAGATGTTTCCCCCAACACCGAGTACATTTAGAGGAAACCCCATGCAAGGAACACCACAACATGGATTCACTCAAATTTATCAACCGTGGTTTGGAACTCCCGGGTACTAGTGTAACAACCCAAAATTTTATTTTATAAATCCGGTATTAAGAAATTCCAAAATAGCCATTTTCACTCCATTAAAAATTTTTGCGATCAATTGGTGTTTGAATAAATTATTTTCGTCACATTTTAAATTAATTCGACACCAAAATTTACTCTATTTCGAAAATTCCTAAATTTTCGGGTACTTCACGTACCAAGATTTTAATCGAGAAATTTATCTTAGTGAGACCGGGAGAATCCAAAAAGATTTTAGGCAAGTGTTTCTCTAAATAGCTTTTTGAGAAAATTCATTTTCAACCCCTAAAGTATTTAAAATAGCATTTCTAGTCTATGGTTCATGTTGCAAGGTGGACCAAAAAGAGCATTCTTGTCTGATCTTTGCTAGAACTACTCCAAATTACCTCTTTTGCCCTCAACCAATCATTAGCAATTATCCTAGGATTTTGGACCCTATAAAATATCTCTTTAGCTACATTATCTCCTGATCTCTTCTTTGCCTTCCCAAATTCTTGTCTGCCAAGTAGAAGGAGAATAACACAGTAAGCTTTTCATCTTATCCCTTCACCTCTTTTCCTTAAGGTTTCCATCCTAGCTTTCAATCTCTGAGTTTTGTTAGGATTTGCTTGTGTTGTTGTTTGAGGTGTCTAGGTGGTGAATGAAATGGTGTTTGAGTAGAGTGGGGGCTGAGATCCACACAAGGAAGAAGAATAAGAAGCAGAGAACTACAAGAGGTATAACCCCATGGATTCCTCTTTAAATTTTGGTCTGTGAAGCCTTAGTATTGAGTAGAAATGAATATAAACTATGAGATTTTGTTATGTTTATACTTAGAAGTGATCTAGTATTTGTTTGTGAGTTGTTGAGATTGTTTTGGACTTGTTTGGTTTGGATTTTGCAGATGAAAAACCTTCTGGTGCACAACACAGTGTGCACCAGATCAGAGTCACGGCCCTAGCCACGGCCCATCAGGAGGGCCGCCGGCTAGAGCCGTGCTTGCACGGGACTAGGGCACGGCCTAGAGGAAGGCCGCTGCATAGTCCCGGTGAAGTGACGGGGTACAAGGGGTGGACCATGAGGAGTCCCGCCCTAGGTCCTTGACTTTGATTCTGAGAAGAATCTGTGCAGTGGTCGGGCCCTTGTGGCTCAGCTACGTGTCATTTCGGGTGGAGTGTTACGGGCCCTTGCGGCTCGACTCTTCGGGACCGTCTCGACGCACGTTTGGCCTTGATTTCGTTGAAATTAGATTAAAAATGAGTATGTTATGAAGGTTTTAGTGATGATTTGTTACACAGAGTATATATTTGCTAGTTCACTGTGTATGAAGAATTATTTGGCTAAGTAATCTGTTGATGTTTTTATTGAGTAAAGAAGCGTGATCAATTGATAATATAATTTATTATGAAAGCATGACTAGATTGCGATATTTGATCAATGTGAAATGTAGCACATGTTGTTGATAGAATGAATAGAATTTGCTATGTTGCAAACCGAGCATGACGTTATATTCTTAAGTATTTAATGTTATTTCATACATGGTCCAGAAGCATATTATAGAGCATTTTGGCATCTCACATATGTCATATTTCAAAAATGCATAAGGGGCCAACGTGAGCCCAAGTATTATTTTCGAAAACCATGAACATGTGTATAGCATTCTTTGATGCATTTGAGAAGTAGTAAAGTTGTTGCATGCATAAGATTGATGCATGAGAGATATATTTATGTATTATCTATATCAATGAGGTTTTGGAGGACCCGTTTGGACTATGTCCCCTCGGATGATTGTTATGGACATTGTGGTCCCAGTACATGTAACGCGGCGTATTCCCACGTTACGAGGTTGGAAACTGCCTGCCAGGCTTGGAATCCTGGTCAGGGGGTGTGCACACTGAAAGTTCGATACCTGATTCCACAGCGCGTGAACCACTAGATTCGTTCGGTAGACGGTAGGAGATATTGGGTCGGACTTACGCCGTTCCCGATGGGGCAATTCACGCTACGGTGAAACTCTGAGCCATCTACGAGTGAAAAGAGAAAGAAATCGAGTCAATAGAGACTCAAGAGAAAGAAAGCGAGTCAAGAGAGACTCAAGAGAAAGAAAGCGAGTCAAGAGAGACTCAAGAGAAAGAAAGCGAGTCAAGAGAGACTCGATAGACCTCCATAGAAAGTACTCTATTTTTACGAGTGTACATGAGTGTGTGTGTGTGTATATATATATATATATATATATATATATATATATATATATATATATTGTTGCACGAGATTGCATATAAGTATGAGTATATTGTTGCACGAGATTGCATATAAGTATGAGTATATTGCTGCATGAGATTGCATATAAGTATGAGTATATTGTTGCACGAGATTGCATATAAGTATGAGTATATTGTTGCACGAGGTTGCACATGAGTATGATTATAGCATTGCACAAGATTGCATTTGAGTAAAGTATCGCATGAGAGTACATAATGTGAATGTTGATTTATAATCGTTTTGTTGTATTAGAAGTCTTGTTTATCAAATTATGAGATGAGAATATGAAAGCATGAGTATACCTGTTATATGGTTTATTAACATGATCATATCTGTAAGCATGAATTGCTTGATAAGTTATTTGAGAAATTATTTGTTGTTGAATCTAAGTGAACATTCTTATGTATATATATATGATCATGCCAGCTGATATAATAGGGTGCAAGCATCTAGAAAGTATGTGATAGATTTAAAGATGATTTGAGATTGAGTTTATTGTTTATAAAGAAAGCAAATGTTTTCAAAGTATTTTTACAGTACTTTACAGGGTTGAGTGTGGTTATACTTAGTTTCGTGCTAATAGGTGTTTTCCTATTTGTTTATGTGTTGCTTGCAAAACCCCTTTTAGGTAGGCCCAACAGTGAGAAGTGATCGAGTTAGACTAGTCTTTAGATTGAGATGTCTAAACTCTTATGTTTTGTTGATGATATTATTATTCAGATTCTAAACTTGTGATGATTTGTAGACGTTTGATGATGTAGACTTTGGGGTGACTTTTCCCCACTTATGATTTTCAGTATTTATTATGGATGTTAGATATTTATTTTATTTCTAGTTCTACCCCATAGCCTGTGCAATCACCACGAAGTGGTGGTTGTGGCGGTGACATTCCCACTAGTTATCTTTTAGTTGTTAATTCCGCTACTTAGCTTATGATACTTGTGGTTTAGATTTGTGATTAAGAGTTAGAAAAGTGGGGTGTTACAACTACTTTGTAACATCCACTCTTCAAATCCCAATTGCGGAGCAGCAGTAACTAGCCACACAACATGTCCGACAATGGCCTCCGCAACCATAAAATTGCATCTTGAAGGAAATAAAAGTGGTAGACCGACCGGGTAGCTCAGGCAGACCAGTCGGGTACCTAGAGGAAGTAAAAGTGGTGGACCGATCATGAAGGTCCAATCAAGAAGGATGTGGAGGCCACCGACAAACTGACGTCACTCAACGAGAAAGTGTTTTTGAACGAATTCGAAAAGGTGTCAAGTCCCGACTAGGCCCCAGAGACAGTCAAAGTCACCCAAGGTCAAAGTCTCGAAGAACTACGGAGCGGAGGAAAATAACACCATAAGAGCAGCCGGTCAGTCTACTACTTGTAGAAAAT